TGTTTTATGCTTTCTGTCTAATTATTTTCAATATAAACTATAAACAAACGTCCACAAGATCTAAACACGTCTGAATTAGCTCTTGCACTGGCTCGGCGACTGTAAGAGTACGTCAAGTGCTGTAACCCGTTTATATTACTATTTGCTTCACACATATTGTTATGCTTTTTGTGTGTGTGTTTATTTTAGGGTTTCGTAGCATCTTTCGTATAAACTATAATTCTATAAAAATTATATATATGTATATTACTTACTTACTTCCCTCGATGTATTAAAGATGCTTTTCTAATTTTCATTCCCTGAAAATCGTTTTAATAGTTATAATGTAATTTCAATAGCTTTGGGTAGCAAAGACTCTGTATACCTATATATATATATAAGCTCATAATTATATAACGTATTCATAGTTAAGCGACTGTGCTTAAGTAATATCGTTTTTCCGATTTTTTAAACCTTTGCTTCTTATATTACAAGTGGTTTGATTTATTATTATGCTGTCATATTATATTTCCATAATTCAATTTATAATGCCTCGCTTGACTATCTCTAGGGGAGTCAAAACCGGTACCCTTAAGATCTATATATATTCATAAAAACGCTAAGGCACGTTTTTTTATTTCATTCGATAATCCTACAATGGGAATCACACATAATTGTGTTGGCAGAGAATTAATTTATCCAGCCGACTTCAGCCCTACTAGCTTTGACTAATTAGTGAATGATTAAAGTGTTTTAATTGTCAATCTTGGAAGTGAAGAAAACATATTTCTACATTCACTTTTTATTTAAATCATTATCTTTTTATCTTTTTTAAGGAAACGATTATATAAGGTCTTAAGAAATCTAATATTAGTAATCTAAATTGGCATTAAATAAGTATGGAATAAAAACTTTAGAAACTAGTTACCATAAAACGTGACATATTTACTTTTTATGAGCCTGGAATTATGCTTCTACCAGAAATATGGCAAAAGGTGTTGGACCAGAACGGCCAATATATAATTTAATAAAGTATTTGTTTATTATACGAAAACTGTCTTTCATTTCCACAAAAAAAAAAAAAAACGAAACTACTTTCCGAACAACTTAATATATATGAATAGGGATATGAATATCAAAGTATCCATTCAGGATTGTATTTTGCAGTAAAGCTTGTTTTCCACTTATAATTATCAAACCTCAAATCCTCATCAGTTTTAAATAATGACGACGGGCAATCAATTAAAGAATTGATGTCTTTTAAACTTAATATAAACTGGCATTGAAAATAATATAGTTTCTCTGCGATTCATTTTCATTTTGTAGTTAAAACAATTAATCTAATCAATAAAGATACAATCTTGTTAATAATCATTTTCTTAAAACGTTATATTAAATATTTTTTATATATATATAATGCAAAATTATATGATTTTAGTAGTTATTTTGATTACCCTATATATACATGTATGGAACCCTACTTTTGTTATCGTGGCCATGCACAATTTTTTAAAACAGATTTATTTAAATTCTATATAAACAAATAATCTAATTAGTAATTACGTATGAAATTGCTCGGCAAGAGAGTGTGCTTTTGAATGTCACACATACGAGTACAGACGTTGATAAGCATTTCACAGAGAATATACAATAGGAAAAATTAAACAAATATCACTGAAAACTTAAAAATCTTTTAAAAGATTAATAATCATTTTGCAAACCTAGATGAATTAACACAAATAGTTGTTAATGATTATTTACGAATTATGAATTGTGGATTAATGGAATTGATAACAGCTAACGTTCATTTCATTCTCAGGATGAACCTCCCTCATACCATCTACACTGATAGATCCTGGCCATTTACATAAATAACAGTTAGTCTCCACTCCCTCATCAGAATATAGCTCACTTATTCCATCTACACTAGTAGAATCAAGCAATTTACACAAATAACAGATAGCCTGCACTCTCTCATCAGAATGCACCTTAATTATTCCATCTATACTGGTAGAATCAGGCAATTTACACCTTTTCAATGTGAAACCACTCTCTTTTTGTTGTATGATAGTAGGAATATCAGCAAATCTTCTCTACGACAACTGAATTCTTTTAAAGAATTATTGGGATGAGGATCCTTTATGTTAACCACTATGCACTTGGTAATGATGTCAATAACCTATATATTGACTTATATATAATTGCTGTAAGCTGGTATACTTTCTCTTAAGAAAATCTAAATTATTTCTTATGAACGGTGGAATTCCAGCGGTAGTATCAATGACAACTGATTAGTTTTTTATGAATCAAATTTTTTTTATTTTGATGATCACTTTTTACATTGAATATATATAAGGTGTGCGTTTCACAGCAAAACAGTTACAACAGTATCTTATGTGATAAGTTCCCATTTCGATATTCAAAATTTCGATTTATTGTGACACTTAATATTTATATTATATTTAGGATATATGTAAAGTTAACCCTTTCCCAGTTTTGCGTTTCAAACTCATGCAAGGTAAATATACATCATTAAGTTATACGTATCGCTTAACCGAACACTACCATAAGTGTCCGTATATCCTTTTAAAATTCATGCATTGCTTCATTCTAAAAATAGAATTTATAGATACTGACAATATAGTTAATATTAATGTTAACTTGTTTAGCAACTAGGTAGGTCTAGCTTATATTTATATTTTTTATAAATATGTACCTTCTTTTTGAACCGGTGGTATTACTAAATTCATTTCTCAAATCTGTTGATCTAGCTTATAATTATGTCTTTTATAAATATCGTACTCTTCAAGTGACTGAAATCTACATTTTAAGATTGTTCTCTCAAACATTGCAAATCGCATCATTTTCCATTATTTGTCATATTCCACTTTCAAATGGAGTACAGTCTTACCTTCTCATTTTAGTCTTTCTAAATTCTAATACTTAAAGTATATGTTCGAAACACTCATTAACATAAATAAAAATGCGTTTTTAACTTAAATGATGATCACTAAAAATATATTGAAAACCTGAAAAAATGTTAATTTAAACCGATAAATTGGTACAAAAACAAAATGATAATTCAAAAATATGCTTTGCAACTGTTATAGTGTTCCTTGGAGCTTTCTACCCATAGTTGTCTTAGCCTCCTGTATTGTACTACATTAGAGTCATTCTTCTGTACACTAGTCATCAGGCTCCTCTACCAAATAACCCTCTTCAGCACGGTAAACATTAGGTGAACGTATTTTCTTTGGAGTTGGGGTACATTTTTCATCTTCTTCCTCCTTAGAAGTTTTGTGAGTGGATTCTGCTTGCACGTAGGGCACCAAGAATCCTTCTCGGCAGGGTGAAACGTATTCATAAATATTTTCTGGTATAACACGCATTTCTACTTGTCTTGGCCAGGTCATCCCTTGAGTCATAACGTTTCGTCTATGAAGAGCACAGCAGTTATGTACTACACCTGATGAAATTGGAACATGCTCGCAACTATGTGCAGCAGCATAACCCTGCGGTACATTGTAAAATAAATGATAGCGTGAAGTCGTAATAGGTGTTACTGCTGGAGTAGATATAGATTCTAATATTGGCACAGCTACAGTTAATGGCATGGGAGCATGTATACAATGTGTATATATCGTACGTCTAGGTACATAATAATATTCATACTCGTGTGTTGTTGTACAAACGCTTGTACCACCCGCCAAACGGCTTGTTTCATGATCGTTTTCGTTTGACATTTTTTCGGATGTAGATTCGCTTCTAGACATCTTGTTACTCCAGCTGTAGAGGCGGTTCAATAGGCTCCGACTGATTGGCGATGTTTATGCAAATGCGCAAATAAAAGATATGTACTTGAAGTTGTCGCATTAGATAAAAGTTAAGGCACACTTCAAATATCATTTGAAGTATTCACACCAATAACTAGACGTGCTAAAAAATATAGTGCAGCGTTTTGGGACAGGTCTATGGTTTGAAAACTATTGGATTAAATCTACTGAAAATTTTGATTTTATTAATCATAATTTTTTTCTTAAATTACTTTATAAAATTTTGACATGTTATATGCCATATAAAATATTTTATAAAACTAATAAAGAAAAATTGACACAATTTTCATGTTTAACGTAATTCAATTGACCAAAGCAAAAAAATGTTTTAAAAGATATTTTAAAACGCTTTCTTATAATGACAAAAAAGCTATTTTTTCAAAATTTAGAGGGTTTCGAATAGAAAAGAATGAATGACACACAAAAATTTAGTTAATTTATTGAAATATACGAATATTTCCTAAGACCACTGATGATGAGAACCTGGCAATAGTCGCAACAGATATATAATTTTTATTATTTAGTAGTACATATACGAGTGATTGAATATTTCAATTTTCATATAGTTTCTTTCTATATATTATTATTATATTTATTATTATTGTATATATTATAATAATATTGAAAATGAAATAACAAAAGTATTTACATTCCAACAAATATATTAAAAGATATATCAATTTGTCGCCATTATAAGCTGTACAACATTCTTGTGTGGTTGTTTGTGACCTATGAACTCACCCATTAGAATTGAACAGGTTTCTCCATCATGCAACCGATTCACTTCAATTTAAGTTCCATCCCTTCCAAACTCACCAACAACCTTTAAAAATCAACTTTCCTCTTACACAACCAGTACCCATCCACATCCTAACCCATGTATCTCATGTTATCTGCTTTACAGTTCTTAGCAGGCTACAACAACAACAACTAACATATTTTTCAAGATATTATATTTTAATATATTTTAACTATTTTTTCTACTTCTTCAATTTAAATAAAATTATAAACATAGAATATTTTTAAATATAGGATATTTTCTAATTCAATCTGAGAAGTATATCAGATATGGTAAGTATATCATAAATTTATACAGAATGTCTTAACATTTGCAATATGAGATAAATACAAAGTACAATTAAAATATAGAGTGATTTTTATTTGGTATTTATTATTTTGAATTATATGTAGATACATTTAAGTTTATACACAAGTACATCACATAGTTTTGGCTTATCCTATAAAATTAAATGAATATTTTAACTATATTATGAATAATATAGTTGCTTATTTTTAATACAGTCTGTTTATGTTTAATATTTAAAGTTAATATATAGAATATCTAAATACTGATACCTAAATTAAGTCTGCAGTACACACTGTTTATTTGGAGTTTTCACACTTAAATACTGTTGTTCTTTGAATCTATTATCATTGTGTTTACATCTGGTAAGCACCCTAAAGCATAACCATACCATAATTGGCAGCACCGCTAAACCAAGTGGCATTAGAAATAGAAGTAAAAACTCCCTAGGATCTGTGTATTGTTGCAGATCTTCAGTGTCATAATCTGCCCAATATTCCTGATCAGAGTATTTGACTTGCAAGTAGGCTTCCCTAATGCTTTGCCCGCGATAACTAATCGCGACACATGCATAGTAACCTTCATCTTTGAGACGTACATCATTAATAACTAAATTACTTAAATATATATGATCACTGATGATTTTTTCCTGAGCAGTTGAGAGTAACTCATATGTTCGACCTTTATAATTGACAATATGGGTATTAAAATTACTGCTGTTAACAGTAGTGTAATCTGCATTCGTGGCATGTGTAGCAATGCGTTTGAACCATTTTACTGTTGGATAAACTGTGCTATACACCCGACATTGGAATACGACTTGTGAACCAACAATTGCTGTTTGGTTATTCGGATAAGTATTTAAAAATTCTGGAACTGTGGTTATATCTAAAATTAAAAAAACAAATTTTTATTAAAATGTTTGATTAAAAAATAATATAACAAACATACTTTTAACTTCCAAGAGATAAGTTCTTACTAATTGTATATCTAGCGCTTGTTTAGAGTCTAGATAATGAGGGTAGACAGCACATTTGTACAATCCTGAATACTTTTCTGTTAAATTTCGCAATAATAGATCAGGTTTGCAAAATGTTTCTTTACAGGGCAGCTCGGTCCAATTGTCATCATAAAATTGATTACAGTTATTTTTACGATCAGAGTCTTCAGTACAGTGCTGTTAAGGAAGACAAATTTTTAGATATATTTATTTGTTTTTTTTGAATTGATAATACATGCCTTGAAAAACCAATGAACTTTGATAGTTTCAAGTTTGGCATCATCTAGTAATCCCTTAAGATCACATTGCAGTCTTATGTCATAGCCAACGCGCTGCTGTATTAACTCAGTTTTTTCTATATAATAAATAATAATATATGGAATATAAAAAACTTAATAACATAAAAAAATTAAAAATAAATAAAAATAAATTATATTATTATTTTATGAATAAGTCGCCAACTAAAAAGAAAAGAAAGAAAGAACCACTAAAAAGAAAGAACTACTAAGGATAATCTTTAGAAAAGCATTAGATATTAAACCAATCTTTCAAATTATTCAGACCAGTATAGTCGTTGGCGTATACAAAGACACATTTTAGTAGGGGTTTTGAAAAGCAAAATCAAAGCTTATATAAAAACATTCAATTGCAAAGAATCTATTGTATCTATTACAAAGTGGTGGTCTATATTTTTATTTGTGAGAATGTTAGTGGGTTGGTATTCATGAATCCCAAACTATATAGGTTACCTTTATTCAAAATTTCGTCATATAAAAGCGACCGAGTGTATCTAAAATTTCTTCATACACCGAAAGATCTGATAATATTTTACAAGAGATATATATGTTCAAACAAATAAAAAAAACTTATATAAATCTTATTTATTAATATTACTTAGTTTAAATACACGCGGTAATTTCACTAAATTTTCGGTTATAAAGCATTTCATAAAGCGTATGAAAAAATATATAACTATCCATACATTTATTGGATTTAGGTTTATATACTGATATATTTTCGATATTTGTTCTGTTTTGATATATATATACCATTTATTATCAGTAGCTAATGTAACAATCCCAATCCGATCTTTAGTAGAGAAGTCAATTTATGCTTACCTACAACCTTTATTCCTAGTTAAAACTTATTTTTATTCAAATTTCTATCTATTGAAGATTTTAGTGGACAAAAATAGTGTACTTAATTATATTAGGACAATCACATTATATTACTTAAAAATATTTTATATTTCAATAAATTAAAATTTAACTTTTGAATAAGAATTTTGCAACAAAATTTAAAAAGGAGCGAATCAAGAGACGTCTAAGGATCAAGCACTAAAAACAGCAGACACAAGTTTGAAAGTCATTTTGGGTGTGGTTTTTACTTGGATTATATTTTTAGAATATTTTTGAATATTAGAAAAAAATTTTAAAATTGAAATAAAAACATATGCTGGTTTAATAGTAACAATTAAAATAAATGTAATATTTATATATTTAAAATTTTAAATAAAAATGTATTAAAAACAATTATCCAAGCTGTTATTTTTAAACACAATTTAACAAAGAATAGAATTATATATAATAAAATAAATATTTATGAATATATATATATATATACGATATGAAATTAAATATATATAAAAACGATAAGCGATGTTATATCAAAAAAAAAACGTCTTTAATATTAAAAATATTGGGGAATCGAAAACGACGAAGTCTTCACAACACTTTCATTAAAAATATTATACTTTTCAGCACAATTTAGAAAAAAAACATAAAGTGACTTACCTGTATTATTGAAGTAACGACCTTGAGCATTCATAAGTAAAAAACTTATTACAAATAGAAACAGCAAAGCCATAATTACATTAATAAACCGTACAAATTTTTTCTTCATACTTAAAATTCACATTTCAATTAGTTCATTTTAATAAATTTTAAAAATTGACAGCTGCAAAAAACTATAATAAGTAAAATTTTAGCTTTTCTCATAACAAATCAATAAGAAATGTTTTTCATTTTTAATTTAATTTAAAAGTTTTAACGACGATGTGAAATGTATTAGATCATGTTCTGCAGGGCACACGGACATAGCGTCCAATTGTGTGGATTATTCGCCGCGACTAACAAACTCGCCGTAAGTAAATCACTGCCATTTTAAGGATAAAATAACGTACATGTTTCGAATTAAACAGTTTTATTATTTATTGAAATTTAAAATAAATATTTTTAATTACACGTACGGCATATTTTTTCATTAAAAATTATTTATAAATGTGACAAAAATATGGTTTTATGAATAAAATTAAAATTAAAAAATTAATTAAACTTGATGTTAATATTTTCTTGTTGAGAGTGAGGCGTTTTTATGACAAAATGAAACTTTTTAAAAGTGAGAAGGATCCGAATAGTAAAGAAAGAATCGACAAACACAAAAATTTAGTTAATTTATTGCAATTTGGCTGACCATACAACGCTGTTTCGAGTATTGCAAAGTACTCTACAACTGTGGTCTTAGGAAATATTCGAATTTCTTTTTAATTGATTTATAGTCCATATAGAATTTATTTGGACTGCAAATGCCAGGCTTAGAACTCGTGCCTGTCAAATTAGAAACGAGGACTAATCATGTTTTTCCACAAATAGCCAAAGCTGTTTTTGTCACTTTTTTATTTAATTAGTGACACTAACCAAAGCATTAGCCATGCTTTAAATTAGAACGAGCTTATAAACTACAGCTTTATTTGGAAACACAAGTTCAACGAATTGAAAATTAATTTTTGAAGTTGTCCATTTCTTTTTTCAAAGCAATTCTTTTGTAGAGAAACTTGTTTTTGCGATATTGTTTTGACAACTTTGCTATGTTTCTTAGCTAACCAGAAAGACTATCAACACCAAATTTATTGAACAGTTTAAATATAAATTTTAATTAATTGCAATAAACATCTAACAATGTGGGTATTTTAAATATGCATATACTAAACACACGCTGTGCATCTTTGACTTCAATACACTCTCAAAAGTCCCCTTTGATTTATAATTTACATAAATATTTTATTTAACTGAAATATGAATAATAAAAACATTATCTACTTTTGTTGAATTTGTGATACTTTAAAGCTACAAATACTATATTAATAATATAATAATGTAATAAAATATATAATTACAATAACTAAAATTATCGGAATTCAAGGTTACTATTAATTATTCATTTTTATTTTTCACTTAATAAACATGTATCTATCTATCTATATATTAAGAGATTTTGTATATCTATTTATTTGTTTCAAATTCACATAGAAATGAGCTAACTGGATTTGATAAAATTTTTATCAAACATTTTTAGGTGAGTGGTAAAAGATTATGAACCATTAATTTTTTTCAACTGTCTATTCGGGTAGTACACTTATGTAATTATATATATAAAAGAGTTATATAATTATATAATAAAATTATTAAAATTTTCTAAATGTAGTAGATGAGTATTATGAAAACTTTTCGAAATTAAAGTGTAAAAAATCGTAATTAATCATGGGTTTTACCGATACATCCATTTGATCGACTGACACATGGAATTACAACAAAACATTTAAATTGAATATATATGTTATTTGTTCAAATTGAAAAATTAGTTAATAATACCAAGTATTCCTTGACAGCAATGATTAACGTTTTGAACATTATCTAACTTAAACTGCTTTTAATATTATTTATAAATCAATCACTAAAGTATAACCCATGTTCAAATGGTTTGTCAACATAAGTTCAATGTTGTTCTATGTAACATTGTAATCCTAGTAATGTAAAAAAGGGAGGATCGAAACCCCGTGAAATATATCGAATTATTTTACGCTAGTTACAAAGATTTTTTTAAAAATTCCCCCTTTAAATGATTCTCTGTATACGTCCATGTATATCACTTTTAAAAATCCATCGCATTACCATTTTAAATAAAACATATTGGAATCTATTAAATTGAGTTGTTAACAAAAGTGTAACATTATCATATACATATAGCAATAAATGAGTCGTCGTATAATGAAAAATAAGTCAAAAACAAAAAAAAATTAAAGAAATAATATCAAAGCACAGCAGCAAAAGAATTTTGCAGAAAAAATAATTTTCAAATCTCCAAAATTCTTGAGAGGAAAGAAGTAAGAAATCCCCTTAATCTACTAAAACAATGTGTTATTAATAAGCATACAAACGATTTTGAGTGTACTAATAATAATATTTATAAACAATAATAAAAATGTGGAAACTCTATTATAACAAACTTGTATCTGATATAATGAAACCATGTTTAATATTTTTACATAAATTCATAAATTACATACAAGTTGAATAGGATGCATACACTACAGATCAAATATAAATATCGCTTATATATTTATTCCATTAGGAAATAATTTAGAACTTAGAACAAAATAGATTTGGTTTTGCTCTTCTTCAAAAGCAAGAACCAAATGGATCAAAAAAAGAATGGATCATCTTTCGGTAAGATATAAACATTTTTCAAAATAATAATTTTTATAAATAAAGTAATTTTCAAAAAAATATTAAAATAAAAATTAATATTTATTTATATTTATATGGGAGCTCACATGAATGCATTCATTCAAATAATAAAACAATCCTCAACATCGTTTATTTGAGAAATTAAGTAATATGGAATTTTTATTTACGTTTAATAAATCAAATTTATTTATTAAAAGTAAATAATACTAGTCAATATTTTTTTTTTCAAGACGATCCATTTAAAAATGTTTTCTCTGCAATTTAAAAAATAGGCTTAACAGCACTGTATGAAAAAAAAAAGAAAACTGAAAAAAATAAAAAGTCCGTCAGAGTGCTTACTAATTATACTAAACTATATTAAATAAAAATGTACTTAATAAAAGAAAAAAAAACAAGACATAAATTATAAATATATATGTTATAAAATAACACATATATATATGTTATAAACATTTCCAGTGGAAAAGCATGTAGTCAAAAAAAAAAAATTCAGAATATCATTTACTAACGTAACTAAATTAGACATTGAAAATATCAACCTATATATCATATCAATTAAAAGGTAAACTCTTCACTTGCTTCATGCAAGTAGTCAATGCCCAACTTAACTTATATATATACATTGAAATAAGTAAATATTAATCATTTTCAGCTAACAGTAACATAAATGTAACATAATAGAAACTAACAGCACTAAAAACACGGTAAAAATTAGAAAGAGCCAAAACAAGGAAATAAAAATAAAAATTGTAACAAATAATTAAATGTAATTCAACAATAGTAATAAATTAACAAATAGTTAAAATTGTACTGTTCTTATCTAATAAAGAATGTTAAAAAAAAAACGTGTAAAATAAAGTGGCAACTAACAGCACTAAAAACACGGCAAAAATAGGCAACAGACAAAACGGATAAATTTCTTATATTAAAAACAAAATAAAAATGATATTGTAACAAACGATTTCCAAAACAAGAAATATTTACTATAGAAAAGCCACCACAAAATATTTTCAATGTCAAAACGTGAAAATAAAATAAATTATTATTATCAATACAATCGAGCTGAAGCTATGTGTGCCCCATTTTATGTGTTGTAATTATACTAAGCATAACTAAACATAATCTAATCTATTTTTAAAATGATTAAATATATTATATACTATATTCTTCTTCCATAACATTGACCAATATTCCTTTGATATTACTTATTAGTGAACGAAAATAAGCAGTACACTATTGAAACGTACTGTACATGTACAGAACACTCAATAAAATTTAGTGTCCTTTAAAAAGGAAAACAATATTAATACCATTTTTATTATATATTATAACATCAAAGATATTACACAAATGTTATTTCTTTATATATAACGATTACTCGATCGTAGTGTATATAAACTTTGTAAAAAATTAATTTGGCTATATGCAACAACTGTACGCAACAGTACACTAAATTTGTGCTTTATGCCTAAAAATGTCCTAAAAAATATTGGTCAATGTCATGAAAGAAGAAATTATATCAAATATAGCGTACTGTACGGTTTGTTTTTATTTTTTGTTATTTATTTAATATTAAATTTATTAGTTTATTAGTTTAAAGAAATTTTTATATTATATATTTATATATGTGTCCGTTTGTAAGTTAGTTTTCTAAGATTATTTTCTATTTTAATATTGATAAATATTTATATGCATATGTTTATTTTTCACATAATTTTATTTATCATATTAACTTATTTTTGATATGTACAAAACTAATGCCACAAGTTTTTAAATTTTAAGAAGTTACTATCAGAAAATTTCTAATAAGTACATTTTAGTAATTTTATCTCTACAAAGTACAGACACAAAATATTTCTCACGAGGTCTTCAGTTTAACACTTTCACTTTTAACATTTTTAAATTTGTAAGTTCACTTGAGGAGCTTAATTATCTTACACTTCAAATCAAACACAAAAGTATTTTATCCAACTATTGCCGTTCTAATACTGACACGATAAAAACTTCACGATAAAAATCAAAACAACTTAAGTAATGTACTTAGAAAAAATGAAAATTAACAAAACCTTTACAAAACAACTACTATTTGACATCGGCAACAAGTGTTAGTCACAAGCCCATAACATTCTGATCGAACTATCGTTAAGCAAACACCAGTACACGGTAGTCAGTCACTATCGATAAGTAAAACACGAACGTTTGAGGCGCTGTAAAAACAACATTAATAGAAAAATTTGTGAAGGAAAGTTATACTCGTGTATTCCGTTCTAAAAATATACTCGTACATTTTAAATAAATACATATTTGTATATGTTTTTATGAAAGAAATAATTTATCACACATTTCAATATTATATCATTTTCAGGGTTTTCTAAACCCGATAAATAGCACACAAACGTTAGTTATCAGTTCTTTAATAATAGATAGGTAAAAACAACAATGGCCTATATCAACAGCTTAGCTCCTTGGACTTCGTAGATAATTATTATCAACACATTATCATATCATACAGTTGCACATTAGATTTAGTGAAATATATACATATACATATATATATATATATGTTATTGACATAAATATATAAATGTTTATATATATGTAATTTTATAATTGATTTTATTAGCCACTGATAAAATTAATATTGTATAAATAATATGAACTGGGATATATAAATGCATAGAAGTATATTCGTATACATTTCGGCGATATGATAAGATTGCTACATTGTGTGTATACCATATACCAGTATGGTAAACATGGAATATCAAAAAATTATAATTTGCATTTTTATATAAAAAAATTTTATTAGAAATATGAATTTGATTTACAATATTCTGCTACTGTATAAATATTTAAATGAAGAAAGAAATTAATTATTTAATGCCATTTATAGAATATACAATATTATCTATGTATTTGCTTTTTTCCCCCAACAACTCCCTTAATGATGTTTAA